ATATTGAAATTTAAATTGGAATTCTAATTAAATTAGAAAATTATTCTTTCATGTAAATGATTGAAATCTAATTTAGAATTCTAATTAAAATAGAAAATTTATTATTTCACGAAAATGTTGAGACTTAACTTAGAGTTCTAAATTTATGAATATTAGAACAAAAAATCAATGAAAAATATAAATGATATCCAAATAATTCAAAATTTGGGTTCTCGTGTCCAAACCTCCGTATTGATACATAAGTCATACGTGAGTGAAATATTCAAGAATAATGTCATCTACTTAGATAAAAATCAAAGATCCTGGCATATATACAAGATACATAAGTCTTGTAATACATAATCTTAGAAAAACAAGAATTCACTTAACGAACTATAAATGAAGCCTCATGGCTTGTATGTATAGATGTACAAGTTTAACATACGTTCAAGAATAAGTGAACCTAAGATATACGTAATGAAATAAAGAATGTGGTGACAATCATGATGTGAGGTTAATGCATATGATGAGAGCAACCTTAAATGAGCTTAAGAAAATGTTACCGATACATACTCACCAATGAGAGTGTAAGATAATGAAGAGACCAGTCTCTATGAATACTCTAATAAAAATATTGAGTTTAAAACACTTAATACTAATGATGAGATGAGAAATCATCTATTGAGCTATGATGTCTTCATACTAGAAGCAAACTTCTATGATGTATGAGTTGCATGTAATGGAACTTTATACCGAGCACCGATAGACTAGCTATGAGTGGTGATGCCTTCTTTCGGGAAGGGCGGAGGTTCACGTAATTCTCATGAGATGAGACTGTCCGGCTTGCCGGGTATGGGTCTCCACACATCTCCTAGTCTTTGAACCTATATTGCCACTATAGGGATCTGGCGGGGTTAAATTCCCATATACGCTAGCATGTTATTTGAATCGCTTTGGCCGGTGATTCCACCTCTTTTCGGTGTGGGGAAGACACTGGATTTCATGATGCTCACATGATCTATGTCGGTTAAAGTTGAAGTTCCCAATGAATGAATGAGGCCAGCCTCAAATGAATCATATAAAGAAATGAATGATACCGAAGGTGTTAGGATAGGATAATCAAGAGGTGAGCTAGATTCAGGTAATGACATTAGGTCATTCCTGATCATTGCACAGCAAACCCGATGAAAGTCTTAAACTACATCCTAGGTATAGCTGGTGTTCGCACTGGCCTATGAATGAATTGAAATGAAATACGAATGAATGAGTGAAGCAGACTCTGTGTTTGCTAAAGAAGGCTCCCTAGTTGAGGTCCCATATGTTGAGCCCTCATTTTGGAAAGTCTTAAAGTTAAGTCTATGATAATAAGGTCTCATGGTATACGAATGAATAATATGAGAGAAAGTATGTGTTATATGTTATGTGCTATATGAATATGTTATGTTTTGTGTGCCATACGATAATTATAATGATGCATGTCACTCTCATGGCATAACTTTCCCAATCTCAATTTGGCAAGTCCACTGACTTGACTTCCAAAAATCATGTTGTTAGGAAAGAGCTATTCTTTCTCATGTATGTCCCTGGTGTGTACTTGCATATACCCATACTTAGTACAAGTGTGTACTAATTCCATACGAACATCTACTTTTAGGTGCAGGCACAGGTGGACGCTAGAGCTACAGGTTCGTCGTTGCAGCTATCCGGACGTCAGTATTCATCCGGAGTTTGGTAGGTCCTCATGCTTTCGAGGATGCTACTGTTTTACATTCTAGCGTAGTTTTAGAGTTGAGCTAGTGGAGCATGTTCCACTAGCGTTTCTTTCCTGTTTTGGTTCAAACTTTGTATTGGTGCTATTGTGGCCGACATACAATTAATACTTAATGAATTATTACTTTCAGTTGCTTCTCTCTTAAATGTTAGATGGTTGATGATGAACGATTACGAAAAGTTAAGAATGTTCAGCAATTATGATTAAAGAATCAAAAATTTCAAATTTTCCGCTAAAATTAATCTATGTAAAGTAAGAATGACGTAAGCAGGCTTGTCTGCGACCTCTGAGAGGTCAACGACGCCGGTCTCGTCTGGGGTCTAGATTCCGGTCGTGACAGAAAATTTGAAGTTTGAAATATTTTTTAAAAAACAAACTTAAAATTATTTTTTTGGGGGGTGGAGGGCTGCTAAGGAGTATTTTTGCTTAATGCACTTTAATCAATGTCGATACTAATACATAATTTACTTTTGTCACTATTATTTATCATTAAATATAAAATTAAATAAGTAAAAAAAATATAACTATAGTCAATAAAAAAAAATATAAATTTTCGGGCAACTTTCACATATAGCAAACAAAAAATTCATATTTGTATGCTATAACAAAGTTTGCATAATTGCGCTCCATAGCAAACATAAAACTGTATAATTCGCTATACATATACAATTGTATAATTCACAATTGTATAATTCGTTGGTCTTTTTTCTCTGCAATATTTGAAGTAAAATGTTTGTAAATTGTATAATTAAGTGTATAACACGAAGATATACATTTTTGCATGTGTATATACAATTTTCTCTCGCTTTATACATAACAGAAACAGAAGTATACATTTCTGTGCATAAAGTGAGAGAGGCGAGCGAGAATGGAGAGTGGCGAGCGAGATTTTTGGGAGAGAGACACTGACAAATTTTAGCTAATATTTGCTATGGAGCACAATTAAATCAAACCCTGACTATTTCATTTAATTTAGGTTATTAGTTTGCTATTATATACATTTTAATTCATATTTTCAATATAGAAAAAACAATTAATTTTATAGAAGAACATAATAAGAAAGACAAGTTACAATATATTTGATAATATCATCAATTTTGAGTGAATAAAAATCAAAAACTTAACTCGTTTGACTAATTCATACTTTTTCCATATCACCTATATGACCATATTCTTATGAATAAAATATGAATATCAATTCATACTCTATCCAAATAAAAAAATCACTTACCCAACCTATTAAATATGTATGAATTACTAAAATATAAACTTATTTTACCATACTAGACACGATGAATGTGGATTGCGATGATTTATTATGATCTTATTAAAAGGTATGAAAGTTGTTTGAGCCTTACATTGATTAAATGGAATAATTTGAAACCCACATGACCTTGATCTCTCTCATCTAAATAACTACTTTTGAATATAATTATCCTAAATTGCATCGTATCATTCTGATTTTTTATTATTTGTTTATTTTTTAATTAAAATATATTAAAAATAATAATTAATATAATAAATTTATTATTTTATTATTATTAATTATGAAGTAAATTAATTAAAAAATTAGATTATTCAAAAAAAGTTTTTTTTAAAAAATAATTAATTAAAAAAGACAATTAAAATATATTTTTCTTAATTTATCAAAATAAATCAATAAAAAGAATTAAAAAAATATATCCTACTTATTCATTTACTCGTTTATTTTAACCCATCTAAATTAAGCACTAACTTCACTTTTTTTTTTTTTGTAAGAAGGAAGGGAAAAAGAAAGGAGTATATGAGTCTTGGAAAGTCAGGTGAGCAGAAAATTGAGCCTAAATAGGCAGGCACAGCCTGGCCAGATCAACGAAGCTTCTCTATAACATAGAATTTCTTGAGATCTAACGATAATCAAAGTCAACAATGGGGCTATTCAGCTATACTGTCGCCGGCGGCGGATTTATACTAATCGGCGCTTGGGAATCTCTGGTCTCTTCTTCTGGTGCCCTGAAAAATTCATCACCGTCGTCCACTACCCAATCGCCGCCACAAAATCCATCGACAGATAAGCATGAGCAAGATTCTGTTTTTTCTTCATCGGTCACCTTTGTATTAATCTTAATCCTTTCGTTCCTTTTCGTTCTCGATTCCTTGTTATCCTTTTTCGACGCACTCAACTCCAAAGACAACATTGGTTCCGTCCTTCAATTGCAGGTTATCGCGATTTCTCTTCTTTTCTTTCTCTATTCGGTATTAGGTCTCATGACCCGCTTGAAAAGTTCTTTTCATTTACCTTCACCGATCCTCAATTTGCTTTGCCTCTTCGCTTTTGCTGAGGAATTTTTGTTGTTTTATCTTCAAAGGAAAGACCCAAGTGGAGTTGAAAATCGTTACTATAATCTCTTGCTTGTGCCTATTGCTATTTGTGCATTTTGTTCATTTCTAGAATTGAAAAATCCCAAATCAAATTACACTAGATTAGGACGTGGGATTGGGTTAATCTTGCAAGGGACGTGGACTCTTCAAATGGGGTTTGCTTTTTTCTCCGATTTGATTGCACAGGGATGCTATTTACATCAAAGGAGTAGAGGTAATTACACGGTTAAGTGTAAAGGTCATCCTCAGTACCATCGAGGTGGAGCTATTGCTACCCTTCAGTTCAATTGCCACCTTGCTCTTCTTGTGACTGTGATTACTTTTGTATACTCAATTGTGTGTAAAAAACATGGCATTGGCCGTGAACATATGCGGTATAGACCTATTGGAGCTGAGATGCAACACTTGGAAATCGATAGTCAAGCTCATTTTACATTGGAGTCTGATGAAGAGGATGACAATGAGAATGGGATAAAAGAAGAGATGAATGTTGAAATGCAAAAGGCTATTGTACCTGTTCCTGAATCAGAAACTAATGGCTATCATACCCATCCTTGAGGAAACCCATGGTTCATTTTTTATGTTACTGGGTATAAAGATATATTCTTTGCAGAGGGGTTATGGTTTAGAGGTTGGGGTTCCCTTTGTATAAAGAATTTACATATAGAAAAGAGAAAGTTTCAGTCTTTTTGTATTTGATGATTCTAGTTCAAATTGTAATGTTGTCTTAGAAATTTTCTTTGAAGTGATTTAAGTATATTTTCCTTTATTGTGTGTCTATGGAAGACTTACTCTTTGATAGTAATGACGACTAACTTTCTTAACAAAAGGAGCTTTACTATATTTGCATTTCACATCTCATTCTCAATATTTGGAATTTTACATTATAAATGAATTTTCTTTTTAGATTTTAGAATTCAGGTTGGTGAGTATCAACTTTATCTAGACTCTGAGTCTCTGAATATTGCACTCCCATGACCGGCAAATGAAGGAACTCGCCATTTTTCACAAATCTGCTTACAAGATTAGCAGTTTGCTCTTTCCCGTCGATTCCCAGATCGACCCGATCCCAACAACATGACCCACCAGGTTCGATCTCTCCATCTTTGTCATCCGTCGCTATGGTTTTGGTGTTGATATTTGTGTGCGGGTTTTCTATACTCTTATCATATTTATTTTGCTATAATTGGTTGCTAGTTTGCAGTATAGCTTGTCATATTTCATTCTTGCTAATTGCTTTCTGGATTGCTTGCTGATTCTATGTTATTATTTATTAATTGCTGGATTGTATTAGTTCTTGGGCTGCGTCACTGTCTAATTTGTTGCTTGACTACCTACTTGTATTGTCTTGTTGATTGTGCCGGTAGTTCCTCGTTGGTATATTACTTCCTTGATTTGTTTCTTCTGCTTTAGTGTCTTTGGTTCGTGATGATAGACTAGGGTCATATTCTCAGGGAGGGGCGCTGGTAAGGGGCGGCCATTGGGTTCAGAGTGCATGTATGCTGAGATTAGGGCTGCAGAACATTGGGTCGCTGATGGGGAAATCCATAGAGTTAGTAAAGATCCTTAGGAAGAGGAAGATTATATAGCTTGTGTCCCAGGAAACCAAGTGGGTAGGGGGTAGGAATGAAAGGTAGAGGCAAAAAAGTTGGCTTATGTGAAGTTGGTGGAGAGCAAGGACGAGGAGGTGACTACAGAGATGCTTATAAAGCAACACGGAATGGGCCAAAGTTGGCGGTCACGACAGCAAAACCGACAGCTTTTTAACGCTTACATGAGGATCCAGAGGACAAAGGAAGAAAGTATCCTTGCTGATAAAATGAGAGGGAAGTACTGTGAGGAAACTTAGTTGGACATGTTTAGGGGTGACAATTGAGCGGGTTGGGTTAAATTTGGGTGGGCCAAAGTGGGTCAAGACTCGACCGAATCCAAATTTGTTCGGGCCAAAATGGATTGGATCAAAATGGGCTAGGCAACGCGTCATAACCCAACCTGCCCAATTTTTTCTAAGTTTTAATAGCTTTATTTGTTATTTTATAAGCTTTCAGTACCTAATAAAAGGGTAAGACTTACCTGCAACTGGTGTTTTATTTAACCTTAATGAAAATCGAATTAGTTTGCGGGTAAGTTTTTCCCAGATAAAATTATTTTTTTCTTTATTATAATAAGATATAAAATCAAAAAAAAGTTTGTTAATAATATTTTGAAAATTTTTTCAAAAATCAATTTGGGTTGCATGTCAATCCAATTTTTAATGAGTTGAAATGGATTGGGTTGAAGTTGATTTTGCTAACAAATGGGCAGGTCTAACCAACCCAAACCTAAATGGGTTGGGCTTGATTTTGCCAACCCCCACAAATCAATGAAATTATGTAACTCAACAACGTGCATATACTTAGGGGGCTTGGGTCATGAAAAGTTTTGGGCGCACCCTGGAAAACCTAATTCTAACGTCAAATTATTCAATTTTTCCGTATTTTATTTAAGAGAAGGAAAAGTAGATTCCCAATTACAATAACTCTCTCCACTGTTTGTCAGCGATCAGGTTTTTTCTTGCCTTGTATTCTTTGTATTATCTAGCTTTTTCAGGCCAAATTTAGTCTTCCCCAACCATAATTCCGATAACAAGTAAGGTGCCTCAATTAAAAAATAATAATAACTTACTAGTATGGTAATTGCTTTTGGAAATTTGGACCATCCCTTTGTTTGTTATTAGAACTTGATTACCAACTTAGATTTGTCTTTTTTGACAATTACGTGTGTGTTTGTTTCTTTCTTACTTTAGGTTTTAATAACACCCATAACTTTACTTTGAGTTTTGCATTCATTGACTTTCTTGTCATCTTCTAGGAATGGAAACTCCCAAGAAGAAATAATTATGGATATGTTAATTAGACTGCCTGTGAAGTCTCTTTTTAGATTCAAGTGTGTTTCAAACTCTTGGAGGGCTTTAATCTGTGAACCTAGCTTTAAGAAACAGCATCATCTCAATCATGCCAAAAATGACAAATTGCTTCTTCTACGGATTGTCAAGGATAGTAATACTGTCTTCTATGGTTCATCTTTATTGACGACAACACCACCACAACATCTAAACATTAGGGATGTACAAGAATCGCTGTGTGTTCCGCAATGTGTGCCATGGTATTACCATATATATGGTAGCTGCAATGGCTTGTTTTTAATTGGGGCTGAGCAGAAATGTTTTCTGTGGAATCCTTCTACAAGAGAATCAATATTACTACCATCACATTGGGACAAGTTTTTTCATGGTTACATCCATGGATTGGCATATGACCCAACTAGTGATGACTATAAGTTCGTTAACATCCCTGAAGATAAAAGGGCACCCACTGAAATTCTCTCCTTAAAAACTGGTTCCTGGAGAAAAATTTATGGAGGTTACTGTTCTCTCCCATCCGCTAATATGGAATATTTTACATTACTACGAGGAGCATTTCATTGGCTTACTTGTTCCGTAGATGGTATGTTTTCTCTGATTTCATTTAATATTTCAAATGAGGTGTTTGGAGGATTACCATTGTCGAAGGAAATGCCCATGGTGTGTGACATTATCGAGGAAGGCGTAAAAGTGTTAGGTGGAAATGCTTAGTGTAAATTTTCTTTATGAAAAGGAGGATACTAGTATTTTTGATTTGTGGGTAATGAAAGAGTATGGTATGGAAGAATCTTGGACTAAATTATTTACGATGACAGATAGCAGGGATGCTTATGAGATGTTACCAGTTGTTCCGAAATATATATTTGCTGATGGTGAAGTGTTGTTCAGGTCCGATACAAGAATTGTGCTTGGCACACTCAAAGAATCAGACAAAAGAAGCAATCTAGTGTGGCCTCTGACTACTGATGAAGATACAGATACCACTTGGGATGGATTTGTTTACACAGAGACTTTGATCTCTCCAAAAGATTGTGTTATTGCTTTGCACTAGTATTTATTTTATATTATTCATTAACTTTTTATTATTGGTATGACTTAGAAACAAAATGTGTTTAAATCTGTCCATACAGTCATTTTGTACAGCATTCATTATATTTTGCGCATAGATTCTCTCTCTATATTTTTATTTTGCTTAGAATATTACGTTAGAGTTGACATATCTTTCTATATATAAAGAAAAAATGGTATGAAATAGCAAATTATTTAAATTCAAATTGAACGTTATAGCCATAGTATATATTATTTGTAATTCGTAGCAAATATTTCATTTTTTTGTCATCTGATTCAGTATACAATTATCTATAATTCAACTTATTTCTAGTCATTAATTTAAAAATCAAAGGAATATTTATCCCATCCAAAATGTGAAGAGTGTATTATCACATCCAAAATATTAAGTGGACTTTTCTAATTTCAAATTTTGTTAAGAGTAATTTTAAAGAGAAAAACACCAAGTTTAATAACCTTATTGATACAGATCAAAATTAAATGGCTTTAGTGGATAATTTTTTCGATATTTACTCATTAAAAGAGGATGTGATGTACTAGATATATCTTCCTTTATATACAAGTGCAGAACCTTCACTTTCTACTTAGAAAAATGAATGTGCAAAACACAACATTCCACAATAACAAATTATCAGTCACTACCAACACTCTAATTAACTGTCCTGCTTCTATAAAATCGACAGAAAACCATAAACATCATAAAACTGGCTGCACTTGACAATGCCAGAAACCAGTAATAGTTGTCTAAACGGGCTCTGCTCATGTCATCGGCGAACCAGTTCTGCTTTTCTCCTATTGAACTTGTCAAATGTTCAATCACTGTTATAAGGAATGAGCTGAAGAAACTACCACAACCAAATACACTAGTATAAAGAGCTATGCCTAAAGTTCTCATATTTATCGGAACTTCAGAGTAAAAGAACTCTTGCATACCAACAACTGTGAATATATCTGAAATTCCCAATAAGATGTACTGAGGCAGCAACCAAAATATGCTCATTGGCAAAGCTTCGAATTCTGAAGTTAAAGTACCTACATTTCTGGCAATATCCAGTCTTTTTCTTTCGGTAACAGCAGCAATTATCATTGCTATCACTGAAAGAAACATCCCTATTCCCATTCTCTGCATCACAGTGATGCCTTTCTCATTACGTGTCAAAACACGAATGAAGGGGATAAAGCACGTGTCGTAAAGAGGCATAAGCAGGATTATAGATATTGTGATTGAACTCTGAAGTGCAGCTGGTGGAATTCGGAAGCTGCTTCCGATGTTTCTCCTCATTGTCATACCTTGTTTAGTGAAAAATGTTGCAGGTTGTTGAAAAATCACTGCAAACATCAGAAGCATAGTCCATACTGGCAGTAGAGGTAGTACTACTTTTAGAATTTCTACTATCCCATTCTCCGGCTTTTTATCCGTACCCTCCGTGCTGCCTGAATCTTGTTGGCAGAGTGGTGCATTTTCAAGTCTAAGAAAATGCAAGGCAAAGCCATAATGAGCATTGGTTGGCAATATGTTGTAGCAGGTTAGTAATCATTTTTAGTTTTTTTACTATTGTATGAAACCATTTTATATTGTCAGTACGTAGAATTTAAACTCGTTTACAAAAGCTTTAAAGAAACACTTACTCGATCTCAACAACTTTTGACTTGTTGGTATCTGGTACCGCAATCTCACCACAGGTCAATCTTGAGGTAGCCGCTCTAATAGCTTTAACTATATGACCTCCCAAGGACTTGATATGAATAATTTCACCATCCGTGTTATGTGTATAAAACCTGTTGCCAAATCTGAAGACTACAATCGACACTATCATGGCAATCGAGGGAATGGCGAAACCTAATCCCCATCCTAACGTGTCCTGTATGTACGACATAATGGACACTCCAAGTAGACTGCCACAACATATGCCAAAATACCACCAGTGGAAAAATGTGCTCTTTTTCTTGGAGCTTTGGTCATTCTTTGTACAGGGCAATTCTTCTTCGTCATCCAATTGGTCCGCTGCAAAAGCTTGTAAGGACGGGTTGTAACCCGCTTGGCCTAGTGAAATTAAATGCAGAGACCATGATAACGATGAAGAGAAGCCCGATTTGTCCAAGGATGTCCATGGCCATTGTAATGCCAATGATGTCAAAGCTAAAAGACCCTGATTATTTGATTGTCAAAAAGAGTCGGTCATTCAGTATATTTTATATTTCCCTTTTTCATTGAGGCGATAATATTAATCTTTAAGTTCATAAATCATACTACCTTCATTTCTAAAAGAATGATCTTTCTTTCCTTTTTAGTCTGTTTAAAAAACGACGGACCCTTTTCCTTCTTTTTTTTTGACAACTAGTTTCAACTTTTAGGACCATACGATTAAAGAGCATTTTGAAAAACTCTATATTAAAAACCATTGACAAGTTTTCTCTATTTTATCAAATTCTATATTAAGTCGAACTATATGTAATTCTTTTTGAAAGGAAGGAGTATTAAAAATTCGATTGAAACTTCTTTATTACTACTACTATCTGTAGATGTTATATGTATTTTCTTAGACAGATTAAACTCCTCTTCCAAGAGGAACAACTGTTTATAAGTTACATAACAGTAGCAAATCTTTTACAAGCACTAAGGCAGACATATAAATGGGCGACAAAAGAAGTGACACCTGAATCAGCAGTAACGTAAGTAAAATGAGTTGACAATGAAACAAAACTGTTATACATACTTTAAAACAGAATTTGTTAAAAATGTATTAATAACGTGCAAGATTTAGGTTATAATGCAATGTTTCTTTTTTTTTAAAAAAAAAAGGAGGTGGGTGATGACTCAGGCTCCATTCCATGTCTACGGTCCACCGTGGCTGTTAACTAATGATTTCCGTGTAGATAATCCATCTACAAACATAGATTTTACCCCTTCCCCGATAGTGGCAAAAGTCATCTTTTTTTTAAGATTTTGATTACTAAAAAATTTAAATATACTTTGTCTTTTCAATTGATATAGGTACTTGTCCTCTACTAAAATGAAATAAAAGCATAGTTGTCAAAGCATCAAGGGGTTGTTCGGTTCGTGCTATACTAAAAAAATAAATTATTATCGCTAAATATCTCTTCTGTGACGGTGCAAACCGAGTTAACCAGGATAACAATACTAGCATTATCATCCAAATCCATTATAGGATAAAAAATATGAAGATTTTGATACAAAATGTATAAGATACTAACTAATTATACTCATAATCAAACACAAAATAAATGCTAAACTAATACTATTCTTGTAAGCACACTCAATCCTAGTACGGTGTTCAAAACTTTTCCTATTTGTGAGATGTTTGGAATATTTTTCAACGACATACGAAAGGAAAAACTAAAAAATTCTAATAACTAAATTTCGAAGAAAATGTAAAATGTGTCACATTTACCATTCAAACTTGTAGCCTAAGCACTATATTTGCAGCTAGACTTCACTAGAAGCTTATATAATGTTAAACTCAGATGGATTCAACAATTTGTATTCATCAATTAAAAAGTTTTGCCTAACACTAGATAATTTTCTAATAAAGGAGATTCAGTTGAAATTCTATGGTAAATGCTGAGTAAAACTGCGCACAATAAGACCTTATGATTTTTTAGAGACGAATTGAAAGGGAACTTACGGCAAAATATAGAGAAGAAGAAGCCAATACAGTGGTGTAGCGGTCCAAATAAGAATCAGCTAGTGGAGCAACCAGCAATGGCAACATAGAAGTAATACCACACCAATTGTTAACCATCTTTGCTGCAGCTGAATTGCTCATTTTGGCCACGTCTGTTAGATATGTCACTAAATTTGATGCCACCCCTTTGAATGAAAACCTCTCCATTCCCGCTATTACTGCCAAATTAAAACCACAAAATTTAAGTAACAATATATTCAGTATAATCCTACGTACCTGAAAAAATGAAATGAAAGTTACCTATGAGGAGAATACATGGTTTGTTGAGATTTCTTGGACTTTGTCCTCCAGCCATGAGAAATTATGTTGAAAAGGTGAAATAATCTTGGCTAGTTAATTATATGTTGTTGTTGTTGCTTTCATCTGGTTTTTACTATTTCAGTCACTACACAAACAAATTAAACAGTATTTATTTTGTGCCGTACTCGAACATCTTATATATATATATTTATATTGGCTAAGCTTGCTCCAACCCAACAAGGCAATTTAATTAACAATATTTTGCATATATATAGTGACTAAAAGGAAAAAAAGAAGTCAAGTCTATTTCAATAAGTAACATAACTTTTGTATTGAGACGTATAATGGAACACTAGACAATCACCAAAAGCACTCATCAACAGACCATTGATCCAACATACGAAAGAAGTGTTTCTAAATTATTTCTTACTTTAGTCTTCGCAGACAATTTTGTCGCAGCCGATAAACAGGTACTCATAATTAACTCGGTAATATTTTAGATACACGTAAACTAACTCTACATTAACTCAAAAATAGCTTATAAACAGATATTTATAAGCAGCTCTGTAATATTCTAGATACATACAAACTAAACTCAAATATTATCAACTTCAAGTCTTAGTAACTAGAAATTAGTCCGTACCTATATTATTGTTGAGATCTATATATTAGAAATATAAATATCAGTGGTTTAGCGCTAGAAAAATGCACAAACGCAGATAATATTGTTATGATTTTTAAAAGAAGCTCCTTTACACTTCGACAAAATAAATTTTAGCACCAATAAATATAGAGATTAATAAAGAGTTCTAAATTCTATATCGATATTAATTAAAAATCATTAGAATTAATATTGCTTAAAAATTTATTTTAAAAAAAATTATTTATCATTAAAAATATATATTTAGCGACAATTAACCTATTACCATTAATTAGTTACCGCTAATGATATTTTCTAATTAATATAGTATTATAGTAGGAATTTCTAGATAAAGGTTCAAGCCCTAAATCCAAAATCATTTTTTTAAAAAGAAGTAATTTGTTCCTAAATAAAACATTTCAATATAAGTTTACTAAAACGACTATCAAGTGGATGAAAAATTAAAAAAAAAAAAAGGAACAACTTTTCTAAAAGATCTAAAAATGGAAC